TTCGTCCAAACTTAAGTATGAACTGCCACAAAGTAGATAGAGACACATTAAATCTCATGAACAATAGTACTAAAATCGTGTATGGGTTTCCTTTGGAGGTCAGGCTAACAGCCACTTTTGCAGGCATAAGAATAAGTACCCAATACGAACTGTTGGTACTTTCTTTAACATTTAGACGTGAACATAAATGACAGCCTTAAATCTTGGTTATCCATACTTGAACGAAATATAGGAGTAGTGAAATAGCGAATAGTGAATAATGAAATATAGGAATAGTGAAGCAACTGCCATCAGTACGGTTACTAGGTAGAATGACCAATAAACAAGTGGGATGAAAGCCTTATCAGAAACAAGTTGTAGTAAAATAGTGCGTACGTATGTTTCGCCTCCTGTATCTACAGTCTGTCTTGCCAAGCTGATGGGGAAGATCGCACAGTGCGCAAATGCGATGGAGTGTTCAGTACGGACGCTCCGTGTCGCCGACCGGTCCAATCACCTGCTGCACGAGGTACGATTTTTGCCCAACGTTAGGCATTGAGAGGTGGCAATACCACAAGTTCGCCGCTTACGGCCTCGTTGGCACGACAACTACCACAGTACTACATCGACTAAGTCCTGTTGCCCATTGTCAAACATGCGGCTTTCCAAACAGCGTTTGCATTAGTTTGCAAATGTCCAAGAAGTAGCATGGCTCTCATCCAAGTACTCAACCGTTTGTACATACCGATGTGTATTCGGCTGTGGCCATAAGCTATTTGATAGCGACCTGCATCGTACGTCTCGTGTGCAGTCATTCGGTGCTCCTAAAACGATTGCCGCTATGCACCGATTCCTTTCCGATGTAATATACTAAAAGACTGACGTAACATTACGGTTGACAGTACATTTTTATTAATTTATCCAGCTTGTTGGTCATTTCCAATGCAACTTCTGGTAAGCATCGCTGCGCTTCTGCCTTCAATCCGCTTAGTACATGCCTTTTCGTAAGCCCCGGTAAATTCAGTATGCTTGATAAACAACGGGAAATATAACTATGCTCACTTTCATCACTAAAATATGGTGCGGAACGTGAACTTTTGACATCATGGTAATCGCAGGTCGTTTAACTGTCGGGATTGTTCAATTGCCACAAAATGTCCAGGGCCATGTCTCTTCGGATGCATAGTCCAAGGTCTTCACACGAGAGACAGTAGTTGAGGATTGTGTCCCAAATGTCAAACTTTACACTTTGTGCGTACTGTAAACGACCAGTTGCTGGTAACCTTTCGATTCAAGTGTATCCATCGGATTGGAAACATACTCCATGATTTGGCGCCCTAGCGTTGATCCGTATCAACAACACAGTTCGCTTGAAAACTCCGTGCGCACGTCAAATACGAATGGGCTTACGGATGGACTGAACCGTTATCTTACGATGTTCCGCATCTCTAGGCGTCGTGCTAGTTATCATTGGGCAGCTGGTCAAGCTAGGGTCATGTAATCTACAAATCGATTTCAAGGAGCAGAAAGTAGATAGCTTGGTCTGGTGAGTAATACCATAGGGCTTACATAGCGAGGTGAATCGGGGCCGATTAATAATACGAAGAGGAAGATGCCGTAGTTCGTCGTCTCGGTATGTCACCGTGCTATATTCCACCTGAGAAGGTAGCAAGAATAACACTGGTCATGATGAGTACAACAGTGTAGTCGGAAACACATGAAGTCATTGTGAAATAAAATTGTTATATAAGCCCAATAAAGATAGGTTAGAGGTGGCACATCCGTGCTAAGCAGGTGCAATAAAGATACTACATCGCATCAAGTCGATAGTTACTCATTTTAGAGTGAAACTGTACCCAAGCGCGACTTGCATGCACCGTAGAATTAAGATGACAAGAAGAAGATGACAGAGATGAAGTAAGCAACTTTTCAGCTTTGCAAGGAAATGGTGCGATTAAGTCCACTGACTTTTATAAGCTCAGCTAATTTAAAGTCCGCGGTGAAAGAACGGGCATTATATGTATGCTCACTTTAATGAAGAATTAGAAACGCAGTGGAACAATGATGACTAATCGTTGGCTTACGATGACGTACGATGACATAGTCGAGCAAGTTCGCGTACTCACCGCGTGGGTGCGTCCAAGTTGCTTATCACTCACCCTCAGTGCAAACCGAGTGTTCGCGATCATCATGCTGTGTGCGGCATGCAATGAGAGCAACTAATCACCGTTCGCATTCGCTGAACCAATGCCATGCGCACCGATGACATCTGTCCACACCCATGCATCACGGCCAACGCTCGTGTTGAAAGCACCCAGCAGAAATATTCAATCGCTCCTCGGCGCAGACCGTATCACGGAGGATAGCTGAGTGTAGAATTGATCGCGCATGTCATCAGGTTAGCACTTGGTCAGACCGTACGTGCTTATAAAAGCGGCAAACTTACCTTGTCCAAGTCGTAGGCGAACAGCCATCAGTCGCGCGCTGATGCCTGTCGGTTCACCTACCAGCTGGCCATGGAGGCGACCGGATATTGCAAATCTGCTCCAATATTCACGTGGTGCTGATGTGGCGTTGCCCACCCGGTGGAGTGTGCAGCCAGCACTTGCTTCATGAAACTTACCTTGCTCAGTGAACTGGGTCTCACTGAGCGCCCCAATATCGATATCGTAGCGCGGCAATTCCACTGCGACCAGTTCAGTGCGTCGCTCGGGGCGTTCACTTGAGTTCCGGTCCAGTAGTGTGCGCACGTACCTGCACCCGATGGCATACGATTGCATTGGTGTGCAATCGCACGCATGCTGGAGGTTGTGCTTCGGAGGTTCTCCTGAGGAACTCAGCTGCAGCCTTTGGCCTAATTGCCCGACCCAAAAGGCAGTGGGGAGCAGATCCAGTTTGAGAATGTGATTGCAGAGACAGATTGGGATCTGCTTGATGGCCATCGCACGCAGCCTTTGAGGTACTGAAACAATTCATGTAGGTTTTGCGACCGTAGTAGGATATGCACCTGCGACCACGGCCAGAAGCAGGTGGGTTTTGGTGGGGTTGCAGCAATTTGTCCAGGGGCTACCTGGCTTGAGGCGGGCAGTAGCAAACCATTGAACACTCGGAGGTGCCCTCCCACCGTCAGGGACAATGCGGGGCGCTCGTGCTATACACCAATCGAGCTTGAGCTTATAACCCGTAAACCTGTAATCTCCCATGGCTAGGTTTTACGAGAAGAGCACCATCAACCATTTCCTAACCTCCGAAGAGGATGCACTAGAATACTAGCAGCGCGCCCACACCTGACAGCAGAACGAGTCGGATCCTCACCGAAAGTCTTCGATTAAATGTACACCCGAAAGACAGCGCGTCTAGCACCTGGTCAGTACACTGACACATGCGGATTGCTGCCCTGGATCTTAGCACGGAGTAGGGCGGAACCCAATTTCTACCCAGCGGTCGCTACGAGGAGGCCTCCAGGACATCAGCCCAGAGCGCAACAATAGCAGCAGTGGGTAGACCAACTGTCAGAATCTAACCAGCATCAGCCTCAGCGCACCATAGGCTCTCCCGCAATGCATACCTTTACGTAAATGCTAGTCCACGTACGCTCACACAACCTTCAACCCAGTCACACCACGTAAGTTTGGACAACTTTGTGCACCTAACCTGCGTGGAACTACCTTCCTAGTAGGCACTCGTCGCTAACTAAACGTTAGACAGTCCACGCGTCTTCACGGCACAACAACAACTATTACACCTGTTGTCATTGGTTGAATTTGGGCTGGCCGAACTCCAGTAGAGTGCGCGCATAGTACGTTGTAAAGACGCCTGATGCAGTACAAACGCGTTAAGGAGCAAGTTCAGTTGTGTTACATATGCAAGTCAGATCCTTAAGGCGTAATTCGATTGCATTACGGATGCAAGCAATCGGGTAAAGGTATAGATTAGGACTCATTGCTTCAAGAAATAACTACCATTTGGGAGCAGTGCTGTTACTGTGCGTAAACTTCCGATAGCTTTTTTAACTTACGTTGGCTAGTGACTTTGTTAATGATAGTGTCGGGCGTCGTGTTACATAGATAAACACTCACCCTTGAAGTGTGCACGAATGTATGCATTTGCTTGGGTTTGGAAACTATGGTGCTTGAAAGGCTTTGCTACATTGAGGCAACCGAAATGAAAACAGGAAGCCTGGTGCTGTTTTATTTTCACAACCGGCGTTAATTTTAAAGCCAGTTACGAGGTCAGCAGTTTCAACAACGTTTTATTCAGCGACCGCATGCACAGCGTTAGCGACACTTCTTCTGCAGGCTTGTATTCTAATCCATGCAAGAATAAGTAACATTTATACAAATGCAGCGTGTCATGACATAGCTCGTGTTACTTTTATTGCCTGAGTTAGAAATAATCTGTAGAAGTAGCAAATGATTTAAAAGCTGCTGCCATGAGCGTTGTTTTGTGACAGCTGCCACCGTTCGGCTGTTACTTTCCCCGTGGCAGCTGAGCTTGTGTGGCTGGACAAGTAAAACAAACAGAAATCCTGCTGTGACTGGTCCAAATCCAGGGAAAGCGACCATTGTTAGAGACGCCTAGAATTGCAGCCCGAATTATATCTCTTACACAGATAGTGTAACTCTATTGATTGAAAGGAGATTTAATTGTTTCCATTTAAATCTTTCGTCCGGTTTTAAACCGAACAATACGTTCCGGTAGCACAGACACTGCAAAAAACTATGAGACGTTTTCGGCTAAAAGTGACGGAGAATTTGCCCAGCGCAAATTTTTGTAGCTACGATATATCTCGTCATCATGTTGACAAACATCTGCATGTTTCGCATGGTCTTTCTTGAGACCGTACAAGGAAGATATACCCATGGTTAAATTTCTTCCGGTAAACTACTCTATTACGGACCACACACCTCATGATAGATGTCTACGGGAAGTGATGCATTGTTTGTTTCAAAGTTTCCATGTAGCACATTTTTCGGTAACACGAATACAGCATTTAGCCTATTTTCGACATACCAATACAGGTGAACACAGTTAGTGAGGAAAGTGAACGACGCCCTTTTCAAAGGAAAGTGACATGCAATCAGAACACCATCGGAGAACAGAAAAGCCACGCTGGTCAAGCATGTATTCCGATTGGTGAACAGAACGTAACACTCATCAAATCCCCTCAGAATATGTATATTAAGCGATATGATTCCTCTCAGCATTCTGTAGAAAAGGATGCCGGTAGCGATCATCGAACTGAAAAGCATGATGCTGCTGCCAGCTCTAAGATGAATGCAGTTCTTGGAAGCGATGTAGAGTATGAAGAAACTTCTCTGGTTCCGGACGAAAAAGCGGGAATTCATGTGCAGGAATATTGGACTGGTGTATCAAATGAATTGACAACTGCAACGTCTTATCAAAGCGATGGCAACAGCAACTCTGAGAACTCAAGGAAACTGGTCGTGGTAAAAGCAGTTCGTTCTGGGTGGAAAACAGAGGAGCTCAGTGGACCAAACGGTGGAGAGACGGCTGATCTACACCCTGTCAATATACTTCCGAAATTGTGTGGTAGTCATGTTCAATCTATCAGTGATAGCAATCAACCTTGTGACTCTCGCTGTGCACACGAGAAAGACCGCTTGTCCACATCAGACCGCACAGGTGCCTCACCACCAAATGTTGCAATGAAGAAATTGTGGTACAGAAGACAACGGAAGCTAATGAGTGGTGAGTGAAATATTTTCCTATGTTTGCTGAAGAAGAAAAGCACCTAATACAAGTGAATTGGCCTATGAAGTTTATATTGGAGGAAAATTCATAGGGTAATTGCGGGGTAATGGCTAATTATGATGCGTGGCAGCGAAAACCGCAAAGATGTTGTCTCGCCGATGCCGTCTTATCTTTGCACGATAGCCAACTGTTTGTGACAGTATGTTGTCTACACAAGGTGTAGGCGCCTTATCCTGAATGGTTGGTTAGGACATTAAGGTTTTCAGGTAAGTCCCCCTTCTCACCCTCTTATTATTCTTTATATCGAAGGTCATCGTGGTTGTATGTCAGCGAAGCGTCAGTTCAAATGTCTGATGTACTGCTGTCGTTGTTTTGTTGTTGAATTAGCCCATGAGAAAACTCCAGTATTTTAGCTGCGAGTTGATGGTCTCTGTATTTTCCACACCCATTGTGTAGCGATTACCTTCTCTATTCTAGTTTGTCTCCTTTTTGGATTTTCAGTGTTACTTTCGGTTACTAATGAGTAGACGGATTTGCGTACGACTTAATTTGGTGCATCGCAGTTAGGTTACAAGCCGCATAGGTAAGCTGACAATCAGAACAAGCAGCAAACGATCGTTTCGTCCAATTGGGACTTGTCAGTGGTGCGCAATCCTTCGATCTCCTGCTGGGGGTCGAACCCATGAGAGCCAACTAGCCAGCAGCTTAGACCAGTGAACCATCGGAGAGGATGGTAGATCATTACTCACTGAAACCTAACTACGATATAGCCCGACCAATCCTCCACTGCTATGCAGACTAGTGGCCGTGCAGAGCACAGTGCTTGGCCGTCCGAGCCATGACTTCCCTTGCCAGTGCCCTGAATCCACACAGCATTTTGAAGGCTGCTAGGGCTTGGTGTTTTTTGGTTACTAATGAGTAGACGGATTTCGGGCTGATTTTAATTGGTTCATTTAAACGACACATCGAAGACCGTACAACAGGCATGTCCGCGTATATGTACAGTTGTTTCTGTTTGCGCCTTCAAAAGTAACAAGTTAAATGGAGCTATCGCCCGTGTTGCTCACCCTGAGCAATACATTGCGCTATCGTTGTCTTCTGAATTACATAGGGACCTACATATAAAATCTTCCTCGGTCTCTTGCATCATGTTACGTTTTTCCGAGTCCTTACGAACTTTACCTGAGCAGTCTCAAGGACAGTGTTGGAAACCAGCAGCATTGAAAACTTCATGCTTATAATGCAGCTCTTGATATCAGAGTAACCAAGGCATAACTTAGATTAAATTCCATATCAAAATGAGTGCATTTTACAATCCAACTACGACCAGGAATTCAAACTCCGGCTGTATCAAACGTTACTGTTGGAGCTCTGTGATGTGAGTTACAAACCGTCACTTCACTGTTTCCACTCCCATCTCTCGTTTTCTCTACACGGAGGCCTTAAATAAAATTGAAGCAGGTTGAGGAGTGCACTGTTAGGGGTTTGCAAACTCTCAAACGCCTTCACTCCGAACAAGATCCCATTGCTCGGAATCACCGAAGTTTGCATTAATATAACTTACCTATCCCAACGGAACATGCAGTTGAGGCGTGAAACCTTACAATGGAAACAGTGGCATAAAAAGGTGGAGTAATGAGATAGAAGTAAGGCTAACTTAAAGGTCAACTAAGCATATGAGCACCTATGTTAACCATCGATAAGTTGAGGCGTTCGTGGCGTTAACCTAGCTAAAACGTGTGTGGTCCTTGCCTAACCAGTAACAGTATGGGATAATAATATAGCTGAAGCCCACGTTTCTTTGATCTGACCTAAGGTTGCTAGTACCCGGGTCAAAGTTTGTCACAGCTTGGACATGCTGTTTATCACCATTTACGAATGTTTGCTGAGATTGACCGAACGAATATTCGGTACTGCAGCGACATTCACGTCATTGGGCGCAAGTTAATTCACGTGCTTGCAACTAGAAATTAAACATGAGCTCACCATATAACACCACAAAAGGAGTGCTTAAAATAGTTTACTTTGCATAATGAAATAAGAGTCTCAAATTTTATTTGAATCTCCACGAATAAGTTACTCTATGCTATCAACGAAGCTAGTAGTAGTAGCGAACATAACTAAATTATAAATACTGTTGTGTACCCAAACTTCAGTGGCTTGTAAAAGCAAACAAAAGATAAAAATGCAGGTGCTCCATCAAATGCTGCTTCTTTGGGTCCATGTAGTAAGGAAATCCACCATGAATGTACCATAAAGCAACTTCAAATTAACACCATTTAGTTAACGAAGGAAACTGTGCCATCTGCTTAGTGGTGCTACGCCCTCGCCCGGTCGTAAACAGCTATATAATCTAATATAACTGCCTAAACGTCTCATCAAGACGTCTATTTGAGTACTCACCGTATTATAATTTTACCGTGTGGTCGGACTGATATCGCGCTCCTCTCTTTCCGGATTTACTGCCCACAGTTCCTGACGCACATTACTCGGATTACACTTATCCAACTCGCATTTTCCAGCGCTATCCAGGGGATCTGCCACTATGGATTGCCCCGCACACGCCATCGTTGCACCTGTTGCCGTAATTTCAATGGGTGTGCTGCTGAAGCTCACGCACATCAACCTCATTTTCCAGTGCATACCATTCCTTTTACTCTCAATCTAAGGAGCGCCTTCAGCGCCATCCAAGGATTTTTGTATTACAAGTATCCGACGCTCCGTTGGGTAGCTGCGGCTTGTTTAGCAGCTAACATTCTAACACTCGCCAAACTAGCCTGCATTTGACTACGCTCGTCAGCGCTCCATTTACGGCCAATCCAAAGCCCGGCACCATCGATTATGACATGACTACGACAAAGGTCACCATTTGACCTTCTTCGGCTTCGTTTTCCCCTGTGGTCCCACCCGCAGGACATCGTCAACGAGCATCGTGTGCCCGTCCCGACACGCTTGTTGGATGGGTCGTACGTTGTAACCATAGGGCGACCATAACTTACCCACGTGACAGACTAGGCCTCAGCATGCTTCGCAACACAGCAGCGAAGAAATCAAGGGCTACACGGTCCAAGCCGCTGCATACAAACGTTCTTTGCAATACCATCTTGTGCTCCAAGCCTGTTAAAAGCGGACTAAATGTTGTAACTAAAGTAAACGATTGCATCCCAAGTACGTTAATTCAGGGATAGCGGAAGTAGAAGAACGACACTACACACTACCCTCCATTTTGTTCTGTGCAGTATGTATGATCAACCTGCATTGCTGTGCTTTCACAGAAATATTACAAACTGAGAGCGATTATGGAGCTTGCTACAACTAGTCTAGTGGTTGCGTCCGAAACAGCTGCGGTAGAAATCGATTCCCGTTTCTAAAACTAATGCTTAAACTTGAAACCGAGTAGCAAACCAAGCGTAGAGCCAGCTACTCCAACCACTAGAATATTTAAACAGGCTTGTAAACAGTGTCGGTCAACCTCGGGAACCCGGGTTTTTTCCCGTGGGTGTACCTGTGGCACGTGATATTCCATTGCATTTGGGTTTATCCAACACTAGCAAAAGCCTGACAAATGTGCTTCATCGTTGCTGCATGCAGACCGGAAGTAAAGTTAGTGGTCACGTCTGTAAGTACCCCAAAATTACACGAATACCAATGCGCCTCCGAGAAGACCGCCTACCGTACATCCAGAGAAGGAAACACGCTATTATACGAAACTGTGCACAATAGGAGGAGGCAGAACTCCATGAAGCTAACATGTTCTAATGTGCATGTGTCAAAAGTGAACTCTATCAAAGGTAAACTGTTGGATGAAATGTAGTAATGAGAATCCATTTGTCAAGCAATAGGAGTCCGGGCCAAACAGGCTACTTTGGTTTACTTCGCCCACCACTTAAACGTAGTGCACGATGGTGAACCAAAGCTACTTTAGGTGACACTCCAGTCGGGTAACGAAACGGAGACAACCCTCTTGTCAGCTCACCGATTTATTCATTCGTCTTGCGAGGTTCGTACACTCTCTGAGATCCTTTGGAGTGAGGGTCGGCAAAGGAAGTAAATCCCAGGAGTAGACCGCAAACAAACCGACGATAACCAAATAATTGTTCTTTCTTTTCCCGAAACAGTCTTCTGACGAGTCGCATACCCCAGCTCATGAGTTAGAAGGGTGACGCTATTTCAGTGAAGCCCCTCTTTCCACGATGTGATTGCTAACTCAATGTCAAGGTTACTAACAGCACCTAGCTATAATGGATGTGGTACAAGGTTGTTAATGTCATGCACTATTCCAAACAAATGTTTGCCATGGTGCTCAGAACTTGACAGAAGTTAGGCAACTAACAGCCATCAGAAATACATGTGAAGACGGTTGAAGTTACGTGAGCTTTTTTCTGCATTTGGGTACCGGAGCAGAGTGCAACTACCCAGCCGTCCGAAGAGAAAGAATCAGGCAAACCGCCACAAGTCGTCTCTGAAGGAGTCGTTAGTGAGTGCTGTATGCAACACCCCAAAGCGTCCCTCTGCGGTAGGCCAGAAATGCATCCAAAAACTATTCTCATCCGGCCGCGCAACGTCGGAGCAAATTTGCGGGAAAGCTTCGTGTGTTCAGAAACGCTTCTTGCAACCGTCGCTCTCAATTGTTTTATGCAAACGTACTAGGCGTTCTCAGGAAATCGGCGGAGCTTCAAACTCGTCACACCTCAATACCCTGGGATCTCATCATGGTGAATGAAACATGGCTAAACGACGTGATTACTGAAATCAAAAGGTCACTACTAGGCAGTTCATGCAAGCGCGGCTACTGACCCATTAATGGAGATGGGGTACTTCTTTGCTACCATTCCGACATACGCGTCGACTGCATGAATGAAACCGGGGTAAAAGCCGTAAACTCGTTATGGTGCCGCGTACATCTAAGATATGACGATATATGTTTAGTGGTCATATTATACCGCTCACCATCGTCCACGTTAGAAATGGACTAGGTTCTAGACTACAATATGAAA